TATTAAGTAATTAACATTTTTATGAACTTAATATCGCTTGTATTAATTAATATTCAATTATTTAATGAATTCGTGTTCAAATAATTTTTTTCCATTAAAATATTCAAAATATTACATGTATTTTTTTAAATATTATAATATACGTAAATTATACATTTATAAATTAAAATTACATAAATATTTATAAAATTATAAAATTATATAGTCATGATATATTTTATTATTGTTATAAACATTTTTAATATAATATAGAGTGTATATTATAAAATCATGAATACATACCTTTTAAATATTCATTTTATTTAGCAAATATACATTTAAAATACGATGCCTTTGTTCAATCATCATCATGTATTATCAACAAATTAAGACAACTAAGATTGTATAAATCTATATAGCTAGGTATACTTCTTAAAATATAAAGAAAATATGTATTTAATTTATGAATAAGCCATTTTTTTCGGAGAAACCAATTTTTAAACTAGTCACACTAATACGTTAGTTGCATCGATATTATAATACATATTTTAACGATATTATAAAAGACTTGCATTTTTCATCCCAATTTAATACATTACATTTATATTTTTATAGTTGTAAAGAGTTTTTCGTTTATTGACTTTCGTGACTTATCGTTCCTATCATTTGACTACAGGTTTTGGCGTCTACAATAATATTGGTCCTCTACATGACATAATTTTTGTTTAGATCAACTATTAATCTGACATTATTTTGTCTATTATTTTCAATTTATAATTTACTTTTATGTATTATTTTATAAGTCTATGTCTTAAGTAAATTTAGTTCAAATTATATCAGCATTTGGATCACTGTGTAGTTTTAAGTATTAGTCATTGCTTTAAGATGTACCATGATTTCGCTCTATTCTTTGTAATGAATTTAATAATTCATTATATTTTCAAATCTTCAATATTGTTGGGTAGGATTTTTGTTAAATGAATGATGTTGATAATAAAGTCCATTATTAATAAGCAATGAATTGTTCTTTTTAGATAAAATAATTCTTGGGTAAGGTTTTAGCATCATATTTAATCAGGTAATTTTTAAGTTAAGAATGTTATTCTTAAATAAATAATTATTAATTAAGAATAATATATTAAAATGAAAAATCCCTATCAATAAAATTATGTCTTTGAAACCGTATAAATTAAAATTTAGCCAAATAATACATTTTTTAAATTTAATATCTGATTGAGGTCTGTAATTAAAATGAGTTCGTTTATCCGAAATGGAGGAATCCGACCAGATTGTATACAATAAACATAATATACTATATAAAAGACGCCATTATTGTATACATTAAAATAACATGACATTATATAATAGTACCTACCTAGAAAATCGTTTAAACGAATAAAAAGGATTTCGTTTAAAACCATACTATATAATATATATGAGTTCAGTCGAGAGATCGGCGGAAGGCGGAACACATTTTAGTTATGCAAAGATATTATTAACGCTCAAATATTATACACATGTATGCTTATTATACTAAGCTCGTCGTAATCGTAGACCCGGACACAACTATCAGATAAAGCACGTTTCACTGCACTAGCGTGAAGTTTATCTCGTTTGACGTGTTTTTAAACACGTCGATTTAAAGTTTGAAATAAGGACCAGCGCGAATAGCGGCAAGTTAATAAAACATATTATAGGAACTATGTCAAACAAAAATTATAAAAATCCAGACATACTTTGTTCCCGGATGATAGGTACTTACGGTACACTACAGAATAGGTCACAGTTTTCTGCGGGCCACTTGGTCAGGTTTATTAGAAGCATATAATATGTTATGTATATAATATGGATTTTCTTTTAATCTTATTGTGATGAATCATCAGAACTTAAAACGATTCTGAGTGGTATTCCATAAAATATAAATATACATAATAAGTTATTACATGAAATATAATTTTTGGTTTATTTTTAAACCTTGAAGACAGTAAGCATATTTTCTGTGAGAAAGTTCAAGTCCTGTACTCGAAAAATTTGCATTTTTAAGCAAAAAAAAACTAAATTACAGGATGTATAAAATATATAATATACTCCGTTTAACGTTCGTTGTATATCTTTTTTTGTGAGTTTTGATTTTAGAATGATTTTATATATCATAATGATTTTTAACCTTTCAAGAAAATCTCAGATCAATTTTTATTATAGAATGTGGTACAAAAAATTGAAATATTGAATTTAATATTCATTGGAGTGAAAGGTTAAAAATGAAAATAGAAAAACATAAACAAGGTCAATTGAAAAACAAAAAGTCTAATCAGAAAACTGAATGTCTAAAAATAATAATTATGGTTACGGATTTTTTAAATTTTTTAATTTCAGTATGAAATGTTTGTGAGGTATATTATATTACATTTTCAAACTTAAGCTAAAAAAAATAGAGATTTTTAAAAATTGTTTACTATAAAATACTTGTAATTTGTTATTTTCATAGTTTTAATAGATTTTGTAAAAATTTTAACTTAAAATGCATTTAAAAATATTGTGGCTATATATTTTTAATAAATTTATACAGGTATAAAAATAATTTATGTGAAATCTTATGTTAAATTTTCAATAATTTCCACCTATCAAACTTATTTTTATTAACATATACAGAAAAAAAAAATTGAAAATTGTTTACGTCTATAAGTAACTCAATAAGAAACAAAATATTTTTAAAACAATATTATTTATAAAGAATGATAATTTAAATGCTTAGTTATATAAAATATAAATGAATATTCGTCGTAGTAAAAATTTTAAATTCAAAAAGTTATAAAAATTAATTTGATTTTACGGTAGTACTTTTTTTTTTTTTTATAATATATAAGTTGCAAAATGTATAAAGAACCTTTCATTAAATTTTCAAATTTCAAGTAAAAATAGAATGTTTTTTATAAATTTCTAATAACAAAAATAACTTGTAATTTTTAAGATTTTGACAAATTTCAAATTAGTATAAATTAAATAATTTAATAAAAAGAAAAAAAATACTTAGCAAACTAGCAAATCTTAATAGGTACAAGTTTGAATTTCAAAATTTGATTCATATAATAATAATTAAATTTACTAGAAACTTTTTATGTCGTTAAGTTTAATTTCTGTAATGTCAAACTTGTAATCATTTCGTTTTAATAATAAAACAGAAAATAACCATACACTCTAGGTGATTCTTTTATCATTTGACAGTAATTTTATGTATTTTGGAAATCATTTATTTTTATTTATATAATTTGAATGCATTACATAATAATTTGGAAAAAAAATAGTAAAGATATATTTATAAGTATAAAAATGGTAAGTATTTTTTAACCAAAAATTTGTTTTTTAAATATAACGTGATTATAAAGAAGAAAATAAATAATTCCTTTAAAGTAGTTATTAAAAATCAATAGTTTAGAAATAAAGTAGTTTTAATAATAACTCTTGTTAATTTATGATTATAAAATAATTATAATAAAGCAGATTTAGTTGATCATCGAATTATAAATTCAAAGGACAGATTGACATCAATTGAATTCCCGGAAAATCACTTTCGTTATCATAGTTAAAATGTTTTGCTGATCCGCTTTATGCAATTATTTGCACTACCCAAACGGCTAAACCTATAGACTATATAGGTTATACTATGAATTATGATTAGACATTAGAGAGAATATGAGTGAGTTATATGAATGGTGAATAGCTTTATGAATTACCTATATCAATAGTAAATAATTTCTCTGCAACAAGTAAAACCGTAAATTTAAATTATATTCAAACTTACATGAAGAAGGCAAAATTATAAAACAACATTATAAGATATATAAAGATTCAGTATTTTTGATACCATGTCACATTTGACATAGATATTCTAATTTTTATGCAATTAATTTAACTCTGGGACTTGAGTATTTCATTTCTTTATTTGATTTTTTTTAGGTATCGAGTAAAACGATGAATGTAATTGATTTTTACAATGATATATGTTTTAACTTTTTTCTTTGATTTTCTGGTAAATTAATGAACACATAACGTAATAATATTAAATATTTGTATTTTTACACAAAATCAGTTTTTTAAATAAATAATAAATTACTTTTGTTATTGTCATTTGAAAACAAATAACCGTAAATACTTGAGTTTTCATTAAATTTTTATAATAGAATTTTGCATGTCATAATTTTCAAAATATTTTTACTTTTTTGAGCCCACAACATGAAGTTTTTGATTTTGTTTTTTCAATAATTGCTGGTATAGAGTTTTATTAGGTCAAAAATCTTTTTTTAAGCTAATACGAGTATAATATTTTTTATGTTTTCATTACTTGAATTATAAAATTAAAATGAGCGTAATTCTACAAATATTTTTTTATATGTTTTAGGTTAAAAAATTTAACCAAATTAGATATTTCCACGTAAAATAACAATTTATCATCAACACTATTCATACCACAAACGTATACACATATTTTGCAATAAGTCGATATTGGTCCAAAAGTTAATAACAATAATATAATATGTTATAAATTATAGATACTATTTTAATAATTAAATAGTATAATAAATACAATGTTTATAGAAAAATTAATAAAATAAAATAAAGTAAATAACTATAATAACAATATAAATAAATTATAAAATACACATAGATTGAACGACACTTTAGGTCTTCATTCAAAATTGTTTTTCGTATGCAAAGATTTACTTATTTATGAAGTAAAATCGACATCTACTGCACAACATAACAGTTACCTATTTAATTATATTTTTTCTTTAAAATAAGGTTACTAATCTATTTTATCTTTTTCTTTTTCATATAACTTTTCTGGGACACAGAGTAACCATTGTTGGGAAAATAATTGATTCTCATATCAATACTAACTTTGCGTAAATAATAAAAATTAGTATTATTGAAAATGATTATAGTTTAAGAAAGCATAGACTTTCTGGAACGAATAAGGCAAAATAATAATGTAAGTTTTTTACAAGACGATATGTACATACCAATCACCAGCTCCAGAAGTACTGACAGGCGTTTCTATTTTTTGCGCTGGATAATGTACTAACGAAACCGTGTCATCGGATTGTCTCGAGGCCAACTGTCACAAAACAAAAACACATCGTTTAGATATTTTGGTCACAAAAGATTTTTGTATTTTTTGTTTTTTTTTTTTTTTTAACGAACAACCTTTTGGACTCTAATGCTTCAAGTTCAAAAATCTATACATAATATAATACATATTATATAATATGCTATATATATTTTACATACCAACAGCCCTTTGTCGCCAAGCGTTACCATAATGACGGGAATGTGAGATATTAGCTTACAAACGATGTCTTTTGAACTATTCATTATGCGATCTCGTGTCTCGAATTCATCGCCGCCGTTAATGGAAACTTTAATGGCGTAATTTACACGCACTTCAGCTGTAATGAAAAAACAGAATGAAATTCCCTTTGGTGTCTCTCACAAAGCGTTCTAAATTATTATTCGATGATAAGGAAGTTGTCCATCGATTACTGTTATGCACTTACACGTACACACAACACCTTCATATCAAGCACGCGGGTTTGATTATGTTTAAACGAATAAAGATCAACTTATTTCGAAATCTTTGCGAACACAATGATGAAAAAGTATACAATTACAAGTATCTTCTGACTATGTGGTTATTATAACGATAACCATCGATTGACGTATCACCAAAAAAGCTCATTAGAGATATGAAATTTAATTCTTTATCGGGTTTTTTCATACCTAATGAGTTTACGAAAATCACATTCAGGAGCATAAGTATTTACACACTTTTTTTTTTTTACAATTGGACATTACCATAATTTGTTTAATAAGGACTATATTTAAATATAACCAAATATGCAATTACTTGACGTTAACAAGAATTCTTAAGTCACACTACAATATTGTACTGATAAAAATTTCTTAATTAAAATTTTTTCCAGTAAAAATTGGTAATTTCTACTTTAAAGGTAAATACTCTTAAAAAATAATGTTTAATCGAGGTTAAACGTGACTGTAGTTTAATTAATAACGAATAGCCCTTGGTGATTTTAAAAGTTTTCGTACAGACTGCAAATTCCAAAAAATATTGAAACTATAATAAGGACTTCATTCTAAATAAATACTAACACAATACCAGGATAATGATTAAAAATCAGTGAAAATTAACATAATATACAATTAAGCACGAGACAAATGATTACTATGTGTGCTTGCCGGAAATATTTGGTGATGAATTATGATTCTGGAGATAAATTTAATTAATGGAAATGTTTTATAGATTATGTTTCATGATCGTTCGAGAAAAATAACACACGACTTATAACTCTGACATGTTGAATCTATCCTACGCATAAACGTAATACTTATGTATGAAATAATAATTTCGCGATTTAATCATACAACAGCATATTACACTTATGCTCTAAATATATTCCATAAACATTAGATAAATAAATATTATAAATATGTATTATGTTTGTATATAGTATATCATGCAGTATAATATCCAACTTATGAATACTCCATTTCAAGTTGTAGAATATAGGTCAGAAATAAAGAATTATTATTAGCAATTATTTTGTATGATTTGAAATTAATAAATAAACTAGCATAAAGGAACACTGCTTTTTTAAGATTGTATTGATTGGACAAACGAAAATTAATTAATCGATTAAAACAAATTGAAACACGCGTATAGCTAAAAAACAGCACCACCCTTTTTTCTTACAATACCAAACTCGGGAAATATTACGATTTATAATTTAACCGCGTTATGAATAGATTAATACTACACTGTTGCATATTTCATCATTTCAATAAAAATATTAACGACACTGGCAAGTAATTTGTACGATTTAATAGTTTAACGTTGAGAATTTATTATTTATTTTGTAGATTGGTATATCTTAATATGTATAGGAACATAGGCTAATAAATCTTGATAGACTCTTACGAGGTATACTCTGGTATATATAAGATGTCGATAGAGAATCGTATTTTTTTCTTTACACGAGCATTCAAACGTAATGTAATATAACACGACATGTACAATCGACGTGACAATATTAAAACGTATCTATCGACACAATTCATAATACAACCGTCAATAATAAATTGTACTTTATAACTTACATTAACGGTTTTATGTACTAGTTAATCGGTAAACGTAAAACTAAGTTTATCGGGGTAATTTTATATGATGATAGATGGTTCGAAAAATTCTTAATGGTGTAATAGGTGTACCTCGTTTATGCACAAACACAATATTAAATGTTTTATTTTCAGCTTGATTATTTATTCAACCATTAAAAGTATTATTCGTTAGAGACACCGAGTGTAAACGATGCGAACTCATTATTCAATATCAAAACATATTTTTCTTACTAATGTTATCATAAAATAATACATTAATTAATAAATAATAAATGAATAATTAATTTTGTTAAACCAAATTTTGAAAAATGTATACATAGAAATAAAATAATTTAATATTGATAATATATAATAAAAATCCAAAGTGAAATTACTTGATAATTTTCTATTGTAAAACTATTATATTATACAACAGATCGTTATTTCCTACAATAAAAAAATAAAAACACGTGAAAAATAATAATAATTTATATTTTAAAATAATACTATCAATGATAAATCTTGATTAAGAAATAAAGCACAGCGAATTGGTTAGTGTATATAATTAAATAAACTAAGTTTTCTTACTATTATATTATCAATAAGTTTAGTCAAGGTGGAAATCGCGAGAAAAAAATACTTAATTTTAATAAATTTTTAACGTGTCATAGTATAAAACAAATTGAAAAATACAAACACAACATTCATATGATTTGAATAACATGCGTAACATTGCACATACGCGATCCGAGATCCAAAAGTATAAAATTGCATTAACAAAATTGTGATTACTTTATTTATGTATAGATATACTGTTATGCACTTATATAGGTATCTTGTATCATAATGTTTTTGAATTATTATTATTAAGATATAATATCGCTGAAACTATTGTTAAATTATTAAAGAGATATTGCTATCACTATATATATTCATTTTATACCTATAATTATAAATAAACATTAAATAGAGAAATTATGGTGCTGCTCAAAATTCCATACAAAATATAGACATATATTATTATGATATAATATTATGTATCTGCGAGAAGAATTTCCTGTTTTTTTTTTTATGTTTATTTTTTAAGATTTTAACTGGTAACACAGTAAATTAGTAAAGGAAAAAATAATAAATAAAAAAATGACTTTGCAGAATTTTTAATTATAAGAATGTATTACATAAAATTTATTTTAAAAATTAAAAAGATTTATACTTAATTTTCTACAGAGATTTTGTTCACTTCAATGTCTAAAATATGTAATCAAAAGCTTTAATCTTCTCATATTCAAACATAAATTATAATCCTCATACACAGTGTTATTTAGGTAATAAGTGTATAATAAAGAAGATAAGGTCCAAGCATGGATGATTTCGGTATAATATCTAGGGTGTAATAGTCAAATTATCGTTAATAACGCTAATCGAATAATATAGTCAACAAATACGTTAAACCTAGGACATGTACCTTCATGATTTTAGTAATAAGACAATATCAAACAAAAACATAGCATATTCGTATTATAATGAGGTATTGGTAAACAATAATTGTGCAAGTTTTCAGTTTTAAGTTACATTACTTATAGACATTTTAGGAAAACAAAAAAAAATTATAATAATATTGAAGTTATAAACGCCTTCAAGAAGAACAGATTTTCAATTTTAATTAATTATAAAAATAAGTCAAATTAAATTATTAAACTCTACGACATTCTAAAGTTATATTTGTTTACTGGTACATAATATTGTAGTTTCTTAAATAATTTAACTATCAAAATTATAAATAAATCGTTACCGAATATTTTTAGTTTCTACTATGTTTAAAATATATTAATTTTTTTTTAACTGAAATTCGCGTGTTAATTAACTCTTTTGGAATTAAATAATATATAAATTTTTTTTTTATGTGTTTTGATATACTAATTTATAACAAATAACAACAAATTTCCAACACTATCCAACAAGTTTATCTAAACATTATTAGATATATTTAAGAAAATTCTACAAACATTGTAATACCAAACTCACGTCCCTTATATTGTGAACCATCACGGAACTCCCTTGTGACAGACGGTTATTTTACAATTATTTCGATTTAAAAAGCCGCGATTAAATTTTTAACCAATAAAAAAAAAAAAAAACGACAAAAATAGATTCGTTCAAACTTTTAGTTGATGATGCATTTTACTGTTTATAAATAAAATTTAATTTAATTAAACAATATTAAGTTTGAAAGAATAATAATTCTTTCGTATTTTTAAATTTTAAGTATAGCGATGAAGTTTTTGATTTTACAATGATGTATTATTTTTACAAATAAAATATTTTAAAAAAGTATTCTACAACAAGTCTTACTTTATTATTATTGTACCAAACATATGTCCTTATAAAATTAAAAACATTAATAACACCAAGAGGGTTTAATTTTTGTTTTTATTAAATTACTATTTTTTATATTGTGAGGTGAGAATTTCCTTATAAAAATGATTTATTTAGTATTCAAAATTATAATGTCTAAAATAATAATGTCTAGATAAAATAATTAATGTACGAGAATAAACAGGCTAATTTTAACTATTTAAAATAACTAGTTTATTTTCCTTTAGTCTTATTTTTTACAATATCATATTGTAACTGATATAAAATACAAATAATTCATTCAAATTTATATTTTATGTAATCAATTACATTTCATAAAATTGTATTATATTTAATAGGTAATTTTTTAATATTAATATTTAATCAACTATTTTAAAAACAATTTGTTGGATATTTATTTTATTTTAGATAAGCAGATAAATATAACTACTATATCATAATAATTTAAAAGACATCTTGAGAGAGGTAGAATCAACTTTTTTAATTTAAAAATAAACGGTTTTTCAATGTTATTGACAAACCAAAAATAAAATCAAAAAACTTCGGATGAAGTTTGAATTTCAAGAATCGCATAAAATTTAAATTATATTTATTTATTTTTTTATCATTCCTTTATCTCTGTCTCTCTCTCCTCCTTAAAAAATCGTCTACTACTGTTCACAATCGAAATAATTGTAATGTTTTTATAGTTCCGAGTGATTTCAGAATAACTTATTCGCTATAAACCGCTGATGGAAGACAATACGTTGCTATTGTGCATGCATCTACACGCTGGCTCTTGACGTCTGAGTGGTATTCATGTAAGAAGTTTTGGTACATTAATCACTGATGACGTCGTTCGTCGTCAAGAAAGAGAAATTAAATGTACACAGTATATACCGTTGGGAAGTACGCAAAT